TATAACAACTTCGGAAGTGGAGTTGGTGAAGTTCATTTTCTCCTGTTTAAATGACAGCCTTTCCACTTTTGTTTACCCAGTGACAACTTCACTTTGCGAAATAACAACTTCGGACGTGGAATTGGTGAAGTTCATTTTTTCCTGTTTAAATGACAGCCTTTTCACTTTTGTTTACCTAGTGACAACTTCACTTTGCGAAATAACAAGTTTGGTTAACCAATGGGCAATATCAGTATGCCAAATAACCACAAAGCACAGGTGGTTTGACAGCAACCTCAATTTGCTGATATAACAAGTAAGCAATCTGCATTTATAATACAACCAAGGAAATTTACAGCAATACAATGTCATTTAGCAAAAAGTAAGAGGTCCGTTTACAACAACCAGATTTTGCAATAGTCAATAACAAAAAGACATTAACAATGTTGTTGACTTCATTTTCCCTTGTCAGCAAACATATTACTTGCAAAAATAGCTGTGTAGCTATGCAATCTAGCAACACCATTCTGCCAAAAAAAATTAAGAAGGGTAGAGCGTATATACACCAAAAAATTAGTTGTCCATTGTAGAAATTAACTTCAAAATGGGTTGGGATTTTTGCAAGTCCTCCTTGTGTGTCCAGGTTGGTGGCATCTGGTGTAATGGTAGACTCTTTTATTTTGGAATTGTGATTCTGCCGTTTAGTCCTTGGTCTTCCAGGAGGCCTACTTGTATTTGGTGGTAAAAGTAGGGTTTGTTCAGCAAGATTCTCAAACATATAGTCATTTGGGTTAGGCATATCGATTGTTACCACTGGAACCATGCTCCTGCCATATATTTTCTCTTGTTGAAATTTTGTAACAGTCTTCAACATATTCATATACATTTCCCCCCACAGTCTTAATGGCTGCACAAGCATGGCAGCATGGAATTTCTGATATTTGCCAACCCAGACAACTACATTGGTGTAGACCAAGGTCTACTCTTTGATCTCCATGAGATGTATGTACACACAGTCTTCCACCTCCATAATTGCACAGCTCATATACCTACTGAAATACACATTCTCCAGAACCTTTGCCTCGGTTTTTGGCCCAACACTATTCCTCCACTTACTCATAAACATATATGATGCATACATCTTCCTTGCTACTTTCTCTCGATGCTCATGGATCATTTGGGCCGCATTATGCTTTCTCTCCTTTACCATCCAAGCATTGAAAGACTCAGCTATATTGGTTGTTATATTGTCCCATCTTTTAAATGGAAACTTGCTCATTGCCCACCTATTCACATCGAATGATAACCCAATCATGTAACTCAGGAGACATAGTTCTCAGCTCTGCCATTGCATTATCAAAGTCGCTATCAACCCTTACATAAGCTACTCTATCAAGAACCTTTAATGCATCTTCTTTTGACCATTGGCTTGTCCTTTTACCTCTGTTTACTTTCACTTGTTCAGCACTGAAGTTTTCCTTCACATGCCTATAACAATATGCATGTCTTTCACCTCCAAATATTACTTGGACAGCTCCTATTATGGCATTGTGTCGGTCTGACACAATCGTCACCTACACTGAATGAACAATTTCTTTAATTTTGAACAGAAACGAAGTCCAGTCATCAAGATTCTCTGATTTCACCACTACTATTGCAAAAGGCAACAAGTCATTATCTGCATCATATCCCGACACTGAGAGTAGTGTCCCCTTATATGGACCACTTAAATGAGTTCCATCAACATATAATATAGCCCTTGCACCACTCAAAAAACCCTCAATACACGAACCGTATGCAATGAAAACCTGCTCAAATATATTACCAATGACAGCCCATTCAGCAACTGTTTTATCATCAGTTTCCTTCAATCTTTGGCACATCCATGGTATGAATATATAGGATTCTTCCGGTTTCCCATGTATGTGTTCCATGGCCTTTTCCTTTACTCTGTAAGCTTGAGCATATGTTAGCCTCACACCATATTCCCTTTCCAGTGTCTTCCTTATTTCAGTAGGATGCTTTTTGGTATGGTTCCTTATCTCCTCAAGTATTATTGATGACGTCAACACAGCATTGCCAACATAAGTGACATCTAGGTTATCTTGCGCTGAATGAATGTGTTCATTAACGAATGTAGTCACGCGTAATAAAAGAGTATCCCTCCCAATAGCATTTGCACAAATCTTCCATGGACATCCTTCCACTTTACACCTCACATTCATCTTCTCCCTACTATTTCTCACATATGTCATTGCAAACTTCTGTGCAATACTAAACCTATACACAGTCTCCCTAAAAGCTTGGGCATGTGGAATATATTGCCCCACTCCTGCAAAAACTCCAACCCATTTCATGCAATTCAAATTACCCCTCAATGTCCCTTCACTCCCTGAACTGTCACTGAAGCTTGTCTGACTTAAACCCCCTCCTTCATACGTTAGGCATTCAACACCATAGTCAACATTGAGTGGTTCATAGTTATCACTAAGGTTCACCACACCTTCAGTCATTTCTCTTGACAGCCCAAACAAATTCTCACCCCTACACCCATAATAACAACATTCGAATAGAAATTAGTAACAACACATTAGGAAATAACAACATTCTACTGTAACAAAGTTAGCATAATAACAAGATTTGTATGGGAAATATCAACAATTCATTATAAAATAACAACTTACTATTACAACAGACTAAGTAATATAACAACATTTGAATGGAAATTAGCAACAACTCATTACCAAATTACAACTTCCAACCGCAACTTCATTACCTTAATTACAAGATTTATATACAAATTAACAACAATTCATTACCAAATAACAACTTTCTACTGCTGCGCAATACACATAATAACAACATTTCTTTGCGTATTAACAATAATCCATTACTGAACAATAACTATCAACTGCAAAACTTTAACCACTTACATTTCTCCATCATTCACTGCTCCACCTTCCTTCTGGTTCCCTTTCGTTGCTACATACCAATGAGCACTGCTATCATTATATCTAAACATATTGCAAATATCACCTTCATGATAAAGATCAATCAGTGTGCCCTCAGCAAACTTAACCGTGTACTTAATTTTGCACCCTTTAGCATCATTGTATACCCACTGTGATATTGTCCCCCTTAATTCCTCCAATGTTATCCCTTCTTTTATGCTGCTTACTCTCACACTCCCTCCACCATATTTAATTTCACCTTCATTGTTTCTTTCAAAATACCCACCAACATGGAAAAAACAAAAACAATTCCTTCCAATAACTTGACCTATTGTTACAGTTCATTTTGTCATGCTAACCTGGAACAACAATTTACATATAAAAAAATATATCAGCTTCAGTATACTTTTATTCAATCAAATTTGCATTTACAAATCAAGACCAACTAATTATTCAATCAAATTTGCATTTACAAGTTGGACATTCTAAATGACAAGATCTTCACTCCTCTCCCCCACTACACCACCTTAAAATTCACACTCAAACTAATAGTTATTACCTCCTTCCATTTCCCCTCCCTCACTCTCCCATTCATGATATTCCTAGCAGAGATCAGTGGCAACCTGCGTCATGAAAATCACAGGTCAACAATCTGACTACAAAGACTAATATTTTGAATATCAACCCAACCGAACCCTCCTTAAACAGTATTATTCCATGATCAACTCCACCGCTCACTCCGTCTATACCTATCACCCAACGAGCCACAATGCCACTCACCACATTCAAGAACAACATCACATTCCTCGGTGTTACAGGGTAGAGAAGAAGAAGAGTATGCTTAGAAACATTGCAAATATTACTTACTCGATTCTCAACCATGTGCACCACCAATCTTCTCCTCCAAGCTCTCCACGATCACATTGTTTGTCTCAGCCTTCATTAATGAAGCTGATTGACTGAGGAGCAATTTTGTCTTTTTACCAACATTTGCTATTTGCAATTTGAGACCGGGTCCCTCATGATAATTTGGCTTATTCAGGTGATCATAGAGTGATTTTGCTAATTCGAGGGTCATTATTTGTGATTTTTCCATACATATTTGTGTGTGTAAAGCCTCCTCCAAGTCCATACACATGCACTTCGATTTTGTTGCTCCGATGTGATGTCACCGTCTCAGAGTTCATATGCATCTTCCATGTGTATGGACACGTGTATCCATACACTTGCCATTACTCACCTATGACTTCACTTTGTTTTATTCTCCAAAAACCACTTGAATTATATTTTACTCGTTTCCATTCAACTCTAATTCAGATAACAAATTAATAAAAATGAAAATGAAAAGAATAAAGACATTCACGTATACAGTAAAAAACTAAACTAAATAATGTATTTATATATTTTTGAAAAGTTATATTATTTATCCGTGGAAATAATGTGGGGAGACGTTTTAGTTATTGTAATATTTTGAATTTATCAATAATAATACTAACAATGACTTTGAAATGAAATGCTGTCGGAATTTCTAACTTTAGACTCCTAGTCATGCGATATATTTAAACTTGTTTTTATCGAAAATAATAAAAACAATGATCAATATATACTACCTCTAGTATTTAATATAAGACCCTGTTTGATTTTTATTTTGGTTCTAAATATAAGACCAAAACTCACTTTGTTTCTTATATTTATATATTTTTTTTCTAAAGTAGTCATCCTAATAATGATAGTTTTAGTCAATACACTTGATTAGTAAGGATATTCTAGGAAAGACAACACTTATTTAGGATAAATAACTAATTCAACTTACTTTTTTAATCTCTTCAAATTAGTCAACTGACTCTTATAATTAGGACCAGAGGTAGTATATTTTTGAGCTGATTTTGGGAGCACTTTTGTAAAATGTCCTAGAAAGTGGAAACAGCAGAAGCAAACAGATAAGTGAAGAAAATTTGTCCATTTTAAAAATAAAAAGAGATATGAACAAATAAAATAAACAATGAAAAATTACTAAACAACTTAAGCCCAAGAGACAGGAAAATCCGGCTATTCTCTGCTATGCTCAAGAAAATTGCAGAGTGAAGTGGAAGGATTTGGAATCCGTTTGAACTTTCCGTCAAGCTCATTTGAGTGAGCACTGATCGGTGCACCGATCTCCACAGTCTGATCTTGTTCCCCTGATCCAAAGTTGATTACTATTCGTTATTTGTGTAAATCCAAGTAATGATTTGTGTTTTGCTTCATATGCTGGTACATCAATGAAGGCTCGGCATATGGCATGATCACACTCGGTTTCAGAGGCCTCTTTTGGGTTTCGGAGAGTTTTGGGACTGTTGTTGTGGGTTGGTCTTTTTTTCCTTCTTTCCTTCCCAAAAAAACAGAGAAAATTTTCGCTCCTTGGTTTTGTTTTTCTACTTTGGGTTGGATTGAAGTGATGCTCGACTTCAGGGAAAGTTCCTCTGCGGTGGGGTTACGGTTAAGTTTATGGAGGTAGGTAATATTGGGTGGGTGGGCAAGATGGAAGAGAATACTGAGCTCGAGGAAGGAGAGGCATGCTATAAAGATCGTGACGACAACATTGACCTTGGTTCTCTTTCTTGCATTGTAAGGGCTATACTTGAAAATAATTTTAATCAAGCTCAAGTTTTCCCGTTTGATTTTGGATTAGCTTCTTCTTTCCTAGTTTAAAAATTGTAGGCCTTCTTGTGTAATGGAGATAAAAAAACACACCAAATAATAGTTCTTTCTATTTAAATGAATGCTAACACTTTCATCATTATAAATAGTGTGACCTATGAATGTATCATTTTTTTTGGGTTCACGGTAAGATATAGAAAATGGAAGGGATATATAATGCAATGTTCATAATTGAGCTTATGTCATCTAGGAAACTTAGTGGTTCAATCCTTTAAAATCTGCCCGTAGAAGCTTTTAGCTGACAAATTGATTCTGTAGATGCTTTTCTTGCCGATTCAATTGTGAACAGCATAGTTGATTTGTTGCTAAGCAACTGTAATTGCCACACTTCATGCATATTATCATGACCAAGAAATAATCTTAGGCGCTGCAATATTTCTATTTGAGAAAGAATTTTAAATGTAAGTTTATCTGCTAGATTCTTTTGATAGTGCTGATGATATATCCAAGATACTTTATTATTTTGGCCTCTGAGAAGTCTAGTTCTTACTACCATTAAAAGAACAAGGATGAAGATAACTTCTCGAATTCTTATTGTCAATCTTCTTGAGGTCTGCCATAATGGTACTGGACCTTAATGATTATTCTTAATTATTAATTAATACTTTAATACCGTTTCAAATCTGAAATCAGCTAGTATAGTTTCATTGTAAAAATAATACAGCTGTGACTTGCTTTCTTTTCTTGAAGGATGAGAGGATTCAGCATGTTCTTGGCCATTTTCAAAAGGACTTTGAAGGTGGTGTTTCTGCTGAGAATCTGGGTGAGTGGCACATTAGAAATCATACATTGTTGAGAGGAATGAAGGAGCTGTCTTTGCACATACAAAAGTGATGGCATTTGATACGAATAATTTTTGCAGGTGCAAAATTTGGTGGCTATGGTACTTTCTTGCCTTCCTATGAATGTTCTCCTTTTCGATCTCATCCAAAGACCTCTCAAAAGAACTACTTGTCACTAAAATCTCCTTACAATAACCTTGTGGAGGTATTTGATTTTTTCTCCTCCTGACCATTTGATTGGAAATTAATATATGTTGCTGATATTTGTCAAGTTCAGAACAACTCCTGTTTGCTTGAGTAATGTGGTTATGTTATTATGCAGGCTACATCCAACAATTCAACAGTACCTTCACGTGTGCCTCCTTCTACAAGGCTTGGAACTGCTCCCTGTGGCACTAATTCATTACAAAATGCAAGAGCATTTTCAATTGATGATTCGATGAATAAAGATGTAGGAATTTCTTCCAGTGTAGGTGCTGAAAGTTTTTCTTTCAATGATGATAGTACTGATAAGTCAGGAAAACCAACTGACCAAAGAACTCTGAAATTTCGAATTAAAATGAAATATGATAACTTAGCTCAAAAGAATGCAGCGATTTATAGCGGTCTTGGGCTTGATACCTCTCCATCTTCATCAATGGACAACAGTCCCATAGAAACTGGGAGAGTGCCACCTGTATCTCAACAGACCGGTGAACAATCTCCAACTGGCATAATTCAGGTGCAAGAGTTTTTTTAATTTTTTTAAATAGATCCATACATGATCATTTTTTGACATTACACTTACTAAAATATTTGTATTTTAACTTTTTATGCAATGGAGCAGGCTATGACTTCCTTCCCCATCCCAGGGGGTGTGCTAATATCACCTCTGCAAGAGAGTATGCTTTACTTGAAAAGAAGGGAAAAAATTCATGGAGACGGAAAATCTTTGTCTGCTCTTAATGGTCAAGAAAATTGTTCCATGTCTGATGATTCAGAGTCTATAATGGGAGAGGAAGATTTGTTGAAGAAGAAAAAAGTGAGAATATTGCATCCAAAGAAAAGATTAGGAAATAAAACTCCAGACTGTAAGGATTTTCTCTTTAATGACTTGAAAGGCACCCCTCTGTTCAGTTCATTCTGTGACGCTGGCAAAACTGCTGAGATGATTGGTAGAGCTTCTGAAGTCTCCAAGAAGGTCAGTAAGGATGGGGCAAATGGCAGAATGGTGTCCACTGAAGCAGTGAAGGAGGAGTTGTTGGAGTCAATTTCTGGCCAGGATTTTGACAATAGTGATAAGAAACATATGGGAAGTGGTTCCAGGCAGAGGGTTATAGAGCGTAAGCCGGCAAATTCACTTAAAAATAACTCTCTTGGTCCTAATAATAATGGCCAGGGTAAAGGATCTATCAGTTCTCAGAAGGCTGACCTTGATGTAATAAAGTGTTTTGGTGAAGATTCTCAAAAAGTTGAGACTAATAGGAAAGGAAAGCTGTTATCTGACGGCAAGCATAAGTCTAAAGGGGATCAGAGTCCCAGTAAAGCTGTTGCTATTGCAAAAAAAGACACTTTCGAGGCGGGTAATAATGAAATGGTAAACAATAAAAAGAGTTCTGGCTTTGGCGATGATTCTAAAAGCAAAATGGCTAAAACAAAGTCATCAAAGTATAATGATGTTGGAGGCAGTGGTGCACATTCATTGAAACATGACGAAGTGGAATGCATAGCTGATGGAACAGACCCAGTAGATGGGAGTAAATATGAAGTTAAAATAAAGGAAAGGCAAAGCAGTGATAAAATGGAGAAGTTGATATGTGGTCCAGGCATAAAAGATGCTTTAAATGCATGTCCTGTTGCCAGAAATAAATCTGCTCCTGAAATGGTTCAAACGGCAGCAGCACCTCAACTTATTGAAGAAAATTGGGTTTGTTGTGATCGTTGCCAGAAATGGCGGCTTCTACCTATTGGTATAAAGCCAGAGCAGCTTCCGGAGAAATGGCTGTGTAGTATGCTAAACTGGCTGTAAGTTACTTTCTTATTTAGGGTTTGAGTTGTATTATGCTAGATATACATTTAATTTAATGTGAATGTTAAAGAACTGAGGACTATTTTTAACACCTTTTTCTTTCCTCATCTGTGCCAACATGTGTCTGTCCTATATATGCTATTGCCTTCTCAAGTGTTCTTTTGAAATTGCTTCCAGGCCTGGAATGAACCGGTGTGACATCAGTGAGGAGACGACAACTAAAGCACTTTATGCCTCATGTCAAATGCCCACTTCTGAAGGACTAAATAACATCCAAAATTCTGCCTCTGGGGCTGCAACTGGACTGGGCTCTGCTGGTGCTTGGCAATTGGGCCTCGCTCACCAGAACTCCTTTTCTGATGCATTGTCTGATCAAAGGAAAAAGAAACTTGGTGCCAAGGAAAAGAAAAAGGCAGAAATCAGTACTGATAATCTTCTGTCCTCTGATGCCACTCAGAACCGTGCTGAAGAATCTGGAAAAATTCCAAGTCACGAGCATCATGCAGAGGGAAACCTAATGAGGAGACCTATTTCTCAACAATATAGCAAGTTGAATAGCTTGATAGAAGCAAAACACATTCCAAAAGAGAAAGAAAAGAAAATGAATGGAGGTACTGCATTTTTTCAAAGTTGATATTCATTATCTGATTTATTTTTATATGACAAATAATTCATTTTTATTCTAATGGAAAAGATTGATATTATCACCAATGTACAGGTGATGGAAAACATGGTAAATTGAAGCGTAAAATGGAAGCTGATAAACATCAACCGAGAACTCTTGTGAAGCAGAAGACTGAAAATATTTACGTTGCTGATACACAGCTGAGTCCTGGCATGGACCTAGAGAAGGTGGCTCAAAATTCAATAAATGGTTTTCCAACAAAGGCTAGTGGGAAGGATATGCGGAAATATGATGAGTATTGCTTATATGAAGATGTAGCGGACAAGTTAGCAGGTCCTGTAAAGAAACAAGGAGACCAGACTCAGGTCTTGTCAGATCATGGGTCCCTGGATCTAAAAAGCCATAGTGAAAATGGTTCTTCCTTGAATAAAAGGAAATCGGAGGACTGGCAGGATGCCAATAAGCTTCACAACATGTCCTTGCAGGATGATAGACAGTATGGTAAAGGCAGCGCAAGTGGCTGTAGGAAGGAAAAGAAGTTTAAAGTTTTGAACCCAGAGGCAAAGTTATGCACTGAAAGTGAATATAAAATGAAGAGAAAAGATGAGATGAATCAAAGTTGCTTGTCAGGAAGTAAAAATCATGCTGCTATTGGTGCAGAAGTTGGAAGTGTTGATAAGATCTATCCTCAAAGAAAGCATGATGAAAAGTTTGCGTCTAGCAAAGTTTTGGATGATGGTGATCCACTGGGCAGGGATTTGGGCTCTGGATTGCTATCATTGGCGGCAACTTCAAGCTCTTCTAAGGTTTCAAGTTCTCATAAATGTAAAACCAACCATGCAGATATGAAAGGTTCACCAGTAGAATCTGTTACCTCGTCTCCTTTAAGGATCCCCAATGACAGGAAGGGAAAGCTACCAGTAAAAGCGAAGGAGGAGAGAGTTTCATGTGACTTTCATTCTGAATCCCTCAAATTTGCTTCAATTGGGTCCCATGTTGGGGATGCTGAAGACAAAGCTGGTATTCAAGCTAAAACTTCTGAAGTTAGGGACAACCATTTGCTTAATTTTGATGTTGCTACTGTACAACAACATGGTCATTGTGCTAATTGCAAAAGCAGAGTGAATAAGTGCAACCAGGAAAGTGCACTTTCTTGGGAAAAATCTGGTAAGGTTGCGCCATTGAGGGGTAAAGAAGAAGATAAATGGTCTGGTTCTGAGGTTGATAGGAATAAGACTAAGTTTTCTGCTTCAGAGAATGGTTATTTCAAAAATAGTGGGGGCCAAGAATCAGCTGCTGATCCCAATTGTGATGCATTTAGTCGGGGGTCAAAAAGTAATGCCAAATGTAGTTTTGCCAAGTCTAAATGCGAGGGTAAGAAAAATTCTGTTAGACTTTGTCCAGGTGAAATTGGAAAGCAAACTGAACTAAGACGAAAAGATTCTGAGAAATCAGATCCAAAAGTGGATGCTTCATTTAGCACTAGCAAAGAAATTCTCTCCCAGGAAAACCTAATACAGGATTTAGAGGATGGAAATAAAGTTGATACTGTTTGTTCAGAATCACGAGATGGCAAATCAAAAGTTCTATCATCTTGGATGGGTGAAGAAAAGGGGGAAACACTATCAGGCTCCAGAACTGCATGCGAGTCTAAAAAAGGAGATACCTGTATTGAGCATCCAATCCATGCATCAACCAGTGGTGATGTGGGCAAGTTAACGAAAATTTCTGCTGGTGCCAGCGGCAAGGGTGGGGTTAATTGTAGTTCAGGAGCCTCTGGAGCTGATCGGCCATTCCCTGGGACGATCCCAGTGAGAAAAAATTCTAGCCAAATGGCCTATGACACCCTGAAAGAAGCCACAAACCTAAAAGATAGAGCTGATCATTTTAAGGTAACTCGAGCATTTTAAAATTTATTTTTCCCCTCACATGTTTTTCGCTTGTACCTGGCATCTTTCCTTTTATAACTGGTGGTTTGAATGCTGTTTATTTTGTAGAGCTCTGGGTTTGAATTTGAAAGTAATGAGACTTTCTTTGAAGCTGCCTTGAAGTTTCTTCATGGAGCCTCGCTTCTAGAAAATTTTGACAAGGAGAGTAGCAAGCATGGAAATATAAGTCAAATGCAAGCCTATACTACTGCAGCTAAACTTTTTGCGTAAGCACAATTTTGAAGTTGTAGCTTGAAATTTATTTTATGTGAGCTTTTTATCTTAGTGTAAGTACAATATTGAAGTTATAACTAGATGGAATTCGAAAAGGAATAGAGGTTTATTAGAAGTCTTAGTGTTCATTATTGCCTCTAGGTTCTTAGAATTATTTTTATCAACATCTCTAAGAGTTTATTCTCAGACTCTATTATAAAAAAGGAGAGGAAGGAAGTAATTAAATATAACACAGTATAATTATTTAACCAATATTTATATGGGATATTAGTTGATGTATCTGCTCAGTTCCAGTTGTGAGAACCATTTTTCAACCCCTGGAAACCCTTTTTTTGGTCCCCAATGGTATGGATTGCGCTTTAGCATATATCAGGAAAGCAATGGGGGCTATTAAGTTTGGGTTTTCCATGGCCAGATTTGTTGTGTTGCAGTTTATCATTTTTCCTTTTCTAGTGTTTACAGTTATTTAAAGTTAAAAAACTAGCTTAAGTGGAGTTTTCATGCTTCTAAACCATCCCTTCAGATCTTGTTGCATTCTTTGTGGGCTTTTATTTATTTATCTATTTATTTTGGTGGGGGAGAGTGGGAAACGTATTCTAAACATCAAATAAGAATATCTTCACCTCTTACTTTCACTAATAGAAAGCATAGATTAGTGATATCCATTACTATGAAGTGACGTATACATATTCGCCAATAAGTTATATTATCAAGTACCCTATGAAGAGAGGTTATATCGACCAGATCAAACATGATCTGAAATAAGACATTATTATTTTATGCATAAACGTGTTATTTTTATTTTTTATTTTGTTTTTGTTTTAAATTTTTGCTGCCATCCAAATAAGTTATTCATGGATCTGTCCTTGTGGGGGCATGCCATTTATGGGATACAGATGGCCTAACTGTGACCAATTTATCAGCTACAAACGAACTGTCATCTTTTCCTTGAGCAATTCACTTTAAGCTTGCATTCAGCTGTTAAATGCCTTTTCAAATGAATTTCAGATCTTGTGCCGATGAATATGAAAGACACCACGAGATAGCTGCAGCTGCCTTGGCACATAAATGCATGGAGGTTGCGTATATGAGAGTGGCTTATAGTAAACATTCTAGTATAAACAGGGATCGAAATGAATTGCAATCAACTCTACAACCGGCTCCTCAAGGTAATTGAATTAATTGTGAATATTTTGTAGTAACGCTTGATGTCTTCTAGTTGTTGATGCATGCCGATTTTGCAATGTCTTTTACTTGAACACTTCTTCTAGCAGTGGATTTATTAAAGTGATGCATCTGCGCATCCAAAGTCCTCCCCCCTCTTCTACAAAATTTGGTATGTTGAAAAGCTATGGGGTGTCCTAAATTGAGCAACTAGGTGTCCTAAATTGCGCAACTAAGTTTTGATGCTCCCTGTGTATTATTATTTATTTGATGGATGCATGCATCCAACAGTGATTCAAGTCAGTGATGTGTCACTGCATTTTTATTCTTTGTTTTAGGTGAATCTCCTTCATCTTCTGCATCAGATGTTGATAACTTGAATAATCAGGCAGCAGCGGATAAGTTTACTTTGCTCAGGGGTACTGGGACTCATGTTGTCAGTAACCAAGTTATATCTGCTCGACATCGCTCAAAATTTGCCCGTCTTCTTGACTTTGTAAGTTAAAACTTTTATTGACACACACTATGGGTTGTTAGAAGGTTTTGTCAAGTTTCTTTGGTGGTTAAAAAAAAAAAAAAAGGAGTATTGCAACTTTTATTGGGATCAAATGGGATCAAATGCAAGGAAATATAGTTGTGTGAGATATTAGTGTTTGAGAAGAAATCAATATGGAAGTTCAGAATATGTTCCTTAGAAACAGCTTTCAGTGTCAGGCAGATCTCAGCCCAAACTTCTATTTCTTGGAAGTCATGCTATTTACTGAATGTATACTTATAGAATGATAAGCTGGTTTATTGCTTTTATCATTCTTATTTTTTCCCCAATAATAAGTACTTAGCCGCATAGTTAGCGAGTTTCACTTATTGTTTCCATACGAACATGAGGCTTTATTATGTAGCTCGATAGTTATAACTTCCTCTGTTTAGTCACTATGGATCACAATTAGCCTGTGATTTTGCAGACTCAGGATGTAAATTATGCAATGGAGGCCTCTAGAAAATGCCAGAGTGCTTTCGCAGGTGCTATCATGATCATGGAAGAGGCACGGAATGGGGACTGCTTAACTTCTATGAGGAGGGTAATTGATTTGAGCTTCCAGGATGTAGATGAGCTTGTAGGTCTGGTTTGGACTGCAAGAAAAGCCATAAGTCGCGCTCATCTCAGTGGTGCTAGAGATTAACTTGATACTGTATATAATGTAAGTTTTTGGTTTGGCTTCTCTACCAATATGGCATCCGGAAAGGAAGGGGAAAAAGGGCATCTTCATAGGCTGACACTTTGAAACCTGCGAAGAGGCAGGTCGCCCTTCTGTACATGTGTACAAAATGAGATTGATTAGCAAATTTTGTAATCTATTTTGAATTTGCTCAGGTTCTTCTTGATGTGGAATGGGCACAATACTCTCACCCTCAAATTTTTGTAGGTTAGGAAGGGGGATGAGATTCCTGCTATTTAACTGACGCAGGATGCTCATTTTATTATAGTTCTATGCTATATTCTTTGCTCCACTGAGTTGGAGCCCAGGAAAATAGAGTCTGGAAATGTCAGGCAACAATTTTTGAGGGCATTGAATACTCATATAGTTATAATTGGTCTATTTTTTTTATACAAAAGAAATAGACTCTATCATCTTATGGAATTTTTGAATAGATCGAATTTCTTTCAGAGAGTTTCCTTTTGCCTGTGTGTGCGTGTTGAACCTTTACTTTTCCATGCCAGCTATTGGCTTTGAAGAAAGTACACATACAGGTATCTTTTTCCTCTTCATGGCTTCATTTATAAATCCGGGTTTCGTGTCTTTGCTTTACGATTTATGTCCCTCTATCTTTGTAGGTCATACTGTTGATAATTGGATTCTGCTTGACTGTTTAAAAGGATACCAGTGTGTTTATGCAGGGCATCTTGTGCAGAATATTACTGCAAAAAAGCTTGGTTTGCCATAATTTTATTTTGATCCACTTCTTTATTTTCTGTAATCTTTTCATCTGAACTTATTAACATTGTTATTGGTGTGAATTGCAGTAGCTATCTTTTCAACTTAATGCTGCAAACTGCATTAAAGCTTTGACGAGGAGGCATTGAAGTTCTCTATCTGTCAGCTTGTGCCTTGTATTTTCACCATTGGATGGGTAAATGAATCTATTTTTATGATTTTCTTGTGGTTACGGACATCAGTGTCCTGTTTTTCTTTGATTAACGAAGCTTCTGCACTCCTGATTGTGTGGTTATCTCCGGTTTCAGCATGTTGTTTCTTTTGATTGGTTGAGCTGGTTTCATAGTCCTACACAGCCATGGCTCTAGAAGAATCTTCTTCCTGTTTGATCCGCTTTACTATTCAGTTTTCTTTTCCTTTGTTTTCAAATTATTTAGAATGACTGTCACCAAACAAAAAAAAAATTATTTAGAATGAGAATAATTTTAATTTTTCTTGATTTGCTCTGCTGGGAATCTGATTGGACAAGATGGGGCTAAACTGCATTGAACTCTGGTTTCCACTGTTAGAATGTTTTGCCATACTTTCTGTATTGGGAAAATTACATTAAAGGATGCGAATTTGATAAAAGATCAAATTGAATGATCTCAAAATCCGTAATCATTCCCAATGATCAGTAGTTACTATTAGATTTTTGGGATTTATTATAAGGTTTGAAGGCCACTTAGGAAAGTGTTTTTTCTTTTTTTTTGCTAAAATATAGGTATCCTCTTATTGGAGGCAATCCTATTCGAGGTACTGTCGAGCACTAAATGTGGGTACCTCTCCCAGCAAGGATTCGAACATTGGTTCACCATGTTGTGAGAGACTAGCCCCTTCTGCTAGACCCAACCCCTATTGGTCACTTAGGAAAATTACAGTAACTCTGCTGGTAACATTTCTAACTTTGGTATACATGAAAGGAAGTTCCTGAAAGGTAAAATGAGTGAGAAAATCTTTCCCAGACATGTTTGGTTCAACAGATCTTGTCTTCTTAGGGAACCATGCTTCCCTCAAGGAATTAGGTCTTCTCCCTTTAGGTTATGGAACTGGGTTTCTTTCACAGAATCCAAAGTTTGTCCCCATTTTGCCCTGAGTTGTGAAATATTCTGTTCATCGGTACGGTTTGTTGCTAAAGCATTGAAGCCGTTCGGGATTGTGTTCAACACCACCGAATTCAGACCAAGCCCTTGCATAAATTGACGCTGCTGTTTGCATGTTTTTCAACTCATCTGGGTGTTGTACTTGAAGCCATGAAGCTTGTGGCCTTAACGCCTTTATCCCTCTCCAGATCCATCCGACCATTTTATTTCAATCATATTTTTTTTGTGTAATTTTGACGGATAAACATGTAATTCTTTTACATTATTCTTCCTTTCCAATTTTTTCATGCCTTCATAGTAAACAGTGCGTCTCTCTTCCCTTCCCATTCGTAAATATAAAGCATTTTGGACATGTAAGGAAGGGTGTCATGGCGGTTATTTCTCCTTCTGCTTCCTTATTCTCCTTATTCGTTTTTAAATACTATCTCTGGTTTTTTATATAAAACTTTTTTTGAATTTTATTTATTCTATTTATTTATTTTTTAAAAATAGTTTTTAAAATAATAATAATTCTAGTAAATAAACTTGATTAGCAAAAATATTTTAAAAAAGATAATATTTATTTATTATAAATAAATAATTTAATTTATTTTTAATTTATTTAAATTAGTTAATTAGTTCTTATATTTAGGACTGAAGGTAGTATAAATCCTTCCAACCAAATATGATCTTAATATAACTTTTGTCATGCATGAGTCCTTGGTTGTAACTTCCCCTATTTTGTTGTAAAAAAACCCTCTATGCCTTAGTTACTCGTATTTATTGAACGCATCAAAAGTTTGTAGCACGCAGAGTGCTTACACAGAGTAACTATGCAAAGTTGTGAACATACAGACAGATATCTCTGACAGAGGACATCATCAGTCGTATGTGCAAGAATCTTGAACTTCAGAGAATTGTTATCAAGGCTTGCTTTTAATTTCAATCTCTCTCTCTCTATATATATATATGTATGTATATAAAATACTTTTTATGCTCAAAAAATAATAATTATTCAGTAATTTTTATTTTTAAAAATACAAGTAGGGAGGATTGGAAGGAAAATAATTATTAAAAGAAATGACAATATTTTATTAAGATTTTTTGGTAATTTTTTTTTTCAGACCTCATAATTTTTTCATAGAAGTATTAGTCATTTTTTATGCTCTAAATATCATGTTAATTTTGTTTTCATTGTCTTTTAGTGTATGTCCGACGATGTTGAATCACGAGTGTTTGGAGTATTTCGTTATCCGTTTGCATCATATTATTATAGTTCACATATTTTTTTGAAAGATAAAATATTTTTTTGAAGGATAAAATGAATTAGAATTTTTTATTTAGAATTAAATAAACAATCAAACTAGTTCTTATGTTAAGAATTGAAAGTAATAGTTCGGATATTCTTTTAAATATACTTTAATTGATTAGAATTTAATTGGTATTCCAGTTCTCTATCACGTATAGAGAATGGAATAATTTCTTTCCGCTGTTATTAAAGAAAACACATAGAGAGAGAGAGAGTGGAAACATGATCAGCTGGTGAACATTCAACATTTGATAGTTTTAATTTACTTCTGTAATCTATTCTTAATAACCAAAGGTTCTAAAATATCAAATAAATTTGAACATTTTTAAAATGCTTACAAGTCTTTCAAGACTGCATCACCTAAAACTCCTACATTTTCGAAGAGTTGAAAGAATTAGCTCACACAAATACGAAATACTAATATTAAATGATGATCATCGCCCATCTTCAATCTCAAATGCTATTTCTCTCTGTATGCTATCATAGACAGCTGAAGTGCTAGCACTAGCATTTCCGTACCCATCAGTTACATGACCAAGCAAGTATTCACATTCCTCAGACATCATATCCTCTCGCTTTCCCCAAGGATGTTTTTTCATAGAAATTAGACCCTCTAGTTCCGTTGCTACTTCTTTCATAGTCGGCCTTTCCTCTCCATTAACCCTGATGCATTTCCTTGCCAAGAAAGCAACTTCTTTTAGTTGCTCTTCATTCTTCTGATCTAACACTCGCTTGTCAAGAATCTCCCACAAGTTGTCTTCTTTCAGTGAAGATGCAAAGTGCATAGCCAAATTTCTTTGCTCTGGTTTGTTGAAGTCAACTGCTTTATTTCCAGTAACTAGCTCCACAAGCACAACCCCAAAACTATAAACATCACTTTTCTCATTCAATTGACCCGTAAGGAGGTATTCTGGATCCAAATATCCTAACGTCCCTTGGACTACGGTGGTAACTTGAGTTTCATCAAGAGGAACAAGTCTTGAGGCTCCAAAATCAGAAACTTTTGCCCTATGATTGTGATCTAATAGAATGTTGGCAGATTTAATATCGCGATGAATAATTGGAATAGAAGCAGCAGAGTGTAAATATGAGATGGCTTCGGCTGTTTCTACAGCAACCCTTAATCTAATCTCCCATGAAAGAGGGTGCTCACTCTTTAGTGGGTCTATATGTTCAAGAAGGGTGCCATTGTCCACATACTCATAAACTAACAAAGGAACTTCCGTTTCAAGACAACACCCAAAAAGTTTGACCACATTCCTATGGTTAATTTGGGAAAGTACAGCCACTTCATTGATAAAATCCTTAATCTGTCTAGGATCCCCACCTATTCTGGACTTTTTGATGGCAACAAGCGTGTTATCTGGTAATATACCCTTATAAACTGTGCCTTGTCCTCCACGGCCAAGAATTCTACTTTCATCAAAGTTGTTTGTAGCAGTTCTAAGCTCATCTTCAGAAAAAATCCTGGATCTATCAGTATGTCCTTGTTGTTGATAAATTTGCTGCAGCATATAATTTCCTCCATTTTGCTCAAAATACTTCCTTCTAAGTTGCTTTAGTGATCTTTGCTTGTGTCCCCAGCATAATGTGGAGACAAATGTGAAGACAAAAAGGAAGGCAACAGAAATGCCTGCAAACAACGTTCAAAATATTATCCAGAGATAAACCATGGTTTTGGACGCTACATAATGCTAGTATCCCCCGGTCCCATATATTGTATTGATTCTCTCTTGTTGTGGTTAGAGAGATAAAGACGCTGTGCGTGGTAATGCTTTCAATAAAAATAAACTATTCTCTAAAAATGGAAATGAGGCATGCAAATTAACCAATGTGGCATGGCTGAAATAAATTGTTTGTCTGCGATTGACACATCTTAAAAAAGATAATGGCATGTCATTATAAAGCTGCTGATGTCACTGACTTTTGCGACATTATATTGCAGCTGCGAGGCCTGTTGGTTTTTATTTTCTTAATCCAAGGAATGGGATGACAAACTATTTCTAAATCTAAATCAATCGCCATCATTTTAACACAGTTAGCCATATATATATATTGTATATATGTATACACACATATAATTTCTTTAAAAATGAAGGATATTAATTATCGATATGCTCAGATGAGTCGAACATGAAGTGTTAATTTATTAATTAGTATTCTCACCCAATGAGATTTCCATGAAAGGGAATTTGCAGCCGGATCCGTCGATATAGCCGTCGCCTCTGTAACCCGGCGGACAAGAACACGTATAATTTCCTTCCATATTGTGGCATCTCCTACTGCAGCGATGCTTCCCGTCATCGCACTCGTTAATATCTGCAAAATTAATCCTTAAGTTCATTATACATATCCGTTATCTCTAAGTACAGGGGCCATATCAAAATCGAAATCTGGTCCTAGATGTCATATCTCAAACAAACTTAGCGGAAGAGCTTGCCTATTATATCTCTTTGGCACTTAAAAGCAAAAACAAGTGAGAAGCAGCAGCGAAAAGAGCCAACAAAGCTGAATATAGCACACCCATATAGACATATAGACAGATAAACGTTGTTTGAAAGTTAAAAACAGAAGCTTTGCTCGGAAAGCTGAGGCATATATACCTTTGCAGCCTGTATCGAGGTCAGAGAGGTAGGGGTTGCCTCTGAAACCTTCTTTACAAACGCAGTAGTACCCCATGCCGCTTTCTGAGTTTCTGCATCTACTGTTTTGCTTGCAGGCATCGTCACATGTCTGCTTGGCAACAGCCCAATCTAGAACCAGGGGAAATCGTTTTTCCTCGACATCAAGCAGATCTCGAGAGGGAGAGAAGTTGAAGAATCCTTCCTGGGCAACAAATGCATAGCCGCAGGGGTTGAAGTTATGCACGTCCGTGTAGTTGCGAAAACTCCCCAAGGTGATATCATAGTTCCTGATGGCTCTGGGGAAATTGGTCCGACAGCATCCCACACCAGAGCATGCCCCGTCTTCAAAGATCGTCTTGTTACTGCATATCAACGAGCAACCTGCTGTAAAGCTGCTGTTCAGGTCGCTGATGTAAGCGTAGGTGTCACAGCCCACCACTGTGAATATGTTCCTGGTGTTTGATATAGAATAGTTCCTGAACCATATTGCGTAGCGATCAGAACTAAAGGTTGAACGATAGCATTGCTTGGAGACTTTAGCCGTGACGGTCAATTCAGGAGGATCTAGGGAGATGTTGCGAACTGGTATTTTACTGCCTAGACGCAATTGTGTTGTGGGTTGTCCAGATGATGAGTCCGTGGTGGTTGTGCAGTTGAGGAGAAACTTTTCATTCATGGAGCAGTTCTTGCTAGCGCCAAAGGGATAGGGGATGCTCACGCCCCCACAAGTGTCTTCGCAACCAGGTTTCGTTTGGGCCCCCACCGCCACCGCCGTCGCCGTGCAGACCAGCAATACCAGTTTAAAGTGCAGGGCACTCAAACCCATCTCGGAGATTTCTGGTGTGGACATATATGCAGGAGCAATTAAGAGCTACGTAGGATGGAATTATATATAGAACACGAAGCTTCGTTTGTAATGACGCACAAGGACGAAGGAAGGAGCTCGTAGACCGACGACTTGATCTTAATGTCTGTTTTTCCACAGCGCATGACCAAATCATTGGCGTAGAGGGTCTTGGTCTTCTTTCTTATAGCTTACTTCCGAAACTCCGGTCAAAGTCGCTTCCTTTGATTTTTCTTTTGTTAATTTTTTCCACAAAGACTTTGTATGTGGTCCCAGCCCGGTTGGGGTCACTCTCCACTTAGCTTCCCGTTAATTTCCCTCCACTCACGTAAAACGGCACCTTTTTGCATTTCCCTCGTGAAGAACATTGATGCAGAGATTTACTGATTTTTCATGCTTTATTTGGTGCTCCGTCTGACAGGTACTTTTTAATAAAGTATAGATAAGTTGGGTTTTAGTTCGACTCATCAGAATCAGGGTATGTCTTTAAATTCAAAAAATAGGTATAAAAATATTTATAGATTGTCTATTAATAAGGTTCTCATATTAGTAGTGGGATTCAAATTCACGACTCGCAGCATTGTGATTTATAAGTGAATTCCTTATCAATTGAACTAATTCTTATTGGCTGTTTTTATCCTTTTTATTTTCTCCGCCAAGTGTCATCTCCACGCAGTTGGATTAAAAAGGTTGGGACTTCATATAATGTAGCTCAACAATGTTCATATCATTCTTCTAAGTTATGAAATTATGTATCGAAGTTTCGTAGTTACAAGCATAATCTATTTTATGAACAGATATTATCGTACGGGGTCTAAGCAAACATTTTAAGCAACAACATCAGGAGTCTCTCAAACACGGCCTATAGATCACTAGAAGGCCACCTCTATGTCGGCGCGTTTAAGTGAAAGCCTGACATTCAAGTACGCAAAGCTTCATCTGTAATGACGCACAAGGGTGTTTGGAAATCTCCTTGAAAACCATATTTACGCTTAATATATGGTAAAATTTTCATTACATATTGGTTTAATACGGCATAAAATTACTTAAAATAGTCCAGAACCATACAACACGTGTCCAAATCAATTTCGCAGGATGAAATCGAGCCATGGACGCCATACACGTAGGGCCTTCTCTCCTTCCAAAGTCACGCGTTTACTTTGTTTGTTTTTCTCTCTCTGTATATATATACATAACTTTTATTCCTTAATATAAAAACTAATTAACTAATTTGAGTAGATTAAAAAGTTTATTAAGTTAGTTATTTATAATAAATGAATATTTTTCCCTTAAAATACTCTTATTAATCAAGTGTAATATTTTTAACATTTGATGAAATATTAAGAACTACCTAGAAAAAAGATGAATAAATATGAGAAACAAAATGGATTGAAATCTTATATCTAGGACTAAATTAAAAATCAAACTAGTTTTGATATTAAGGACCTGAGGTAGCATACATATATATACATATCTTTTATTATAAGCATCTAGTTATCCTTCTTACTTTATGTAATTTCAACTCGTTGCAACTATTTTTAATCAAATAAGTATATATACATGTAGGTATATGTGTACATACAGTATTGATTCTATTTATAGGGATTGAGACCCATTAATATTTGACACGTATCAACGCAGTGAAGCAGCTAGGGGTTGTGTTCAACACCACCAAATTCAGACGAAGTCCGGCCCCTGCATAAATTGTAGCTGTTGTTTGCCTGTTCTATACATCTATATCTGTTTTTTTTGCCTCCTCTATGTGTACAATTTAAATAATACATGCACGGACACAAACATGTTAAAAGTATGTTTGAGTTTAGGACCTTATCCAAGCATAACATGCGGCGCTGCTACTAATTAAAACAACTTGTTGTTGATGGAACTCATTGATCTTTGTGTTATGTGCTTGAGGTTTGAAGCCATGATGCATGTGGCACCTTAATGCTCTTGTCCCTCTCTAGCTAGATCCATCCTATGATTTTACTGTTGGAATCATACTGATGATTAGTACATCTCTCTTTTCTTCTCATTCCTATATATGGAGCATTTTGGACTTGTAAGGTACTGCTATTTTTTCTTCCCAATCTGCTTCTCCTCCTCTTTCCTTCTTCTAAAAATTAATTCCTTCCAACCGAATATGATCATAATATATCTTTTGTCATGTATGAGTCCTTAGATGTAACTTTTCCTTTTATTTTGTTGTAAACAACTCTATACATGCCTTAATTATTCGTATGTATTATTGCACACACATCAAGTTTGTAGTATGGCGTTTACGTGGAGTAACTATTTAAACAAGCAGATAAGACAGAGCACATCGATCAATTGTATATATGTCCAAAAATCTTGAATGAACTTCAGAGAATTATTATCAAGGCTCGCTTATATATATATATATATATATATATATATGATGGTTGTAATACTCAAAAAAGTAATTATTATTCAGTAATTAATATTTTTTAAATTAAAAGTATTAGTCATTATTTTAACATCTAAATATTATGTTCTCTCCGTATAAAATAACCGGGACCTGGGGGTGGGGAGAGAGACTCGAATCATTATCAACTCGTAGAACTTCGGGATTTGATAATGTTAACTTACTTTTATCCTTAATAACCGAACATTTTTAAAATCCCTACAAGTCCTTTCAAAACAACGTAATTACCTGAAACTCCTACATTGGCACAGAGTGGAAAGAGTAGCAGCTAAAACACATGAGAAATACTAACATTAAATGATCATCGCCCATCTGCAATCTCAAATTCCATTTGTTTCTGTATGCTATCATAGCCAGCTAAAGTGTCGGCACTAGCATTCCCATAGCCACCATTATAGCCAGCTGAAGTGCCAGCAGGAGCATTCCCATAGCTGCTAGCCACGTGACCAAGCAAATATTCACATACTTCAGACATCATATCCTCTCCCTTTACCCAAGGATGCCTTTTCACGGCAATTAGACCCTCTAATTCCATCGCTACTTCTTTCATAGTCGGTCTTTCCTCTCCATTAACTCTGATGCACCTCCTTGCCAAGAAAGCAACTTCCTTTAGTTGCTCTGCGTTCTTCACATCCAACACTCGCTTGTCGAGAATCTTCCACAAGTTGTCTTCCCTCATCAAAGATGTAAAGTGCATAGCTAAATTTCTCTCTTCTGGCCTATTGAATTCAACTGCTTTATTTCCGGTGATTAGCTCCACAAGCACAACCCCAAAGCTATAGACATCACTTTTCTCGTTCAACTGACCTGTAAGGAGGTACTCTGGATCCAAATACCCTAATGTCCCTTGAACCACAGTTGTAATTTGGGTTTCATCAAGAGGAACAAGTCTTGAGGCTCCAAAGTCAGAAACTTTTGCCCTATGATTGTGATCTAATAGTATGTTGGTAGATTTAATATCGCGATGAATAATTGGAATAGAAGCAGCAGAGTGTAAATATGAGATGGCCCCGGCTGTTTCTGCAGCAATCCTTAATCGGGTCTCCCATGAAAGAGAGTTCTTGTTTTTTAGTGGGTCTATATGTTCAAGAAGGGTGCCATTGTCTACAAACTCATATACTAACAAAGGAACTTCAGTTTCAAGACAACATCCGAAAAGTTTAACCACATTCCTATGGTTGATTTGGGAAAGTACAGCCACTTCATTGATAAAATCCTTTATTTGCCTATGATTTCCACTAATTCTGGACTTTTTGATGGCCACATGCCTGTTATCTGACAATATACCCTTGTAAACCGTACCTTGCCCTCCATGACCAAGGATTCTGCTTTCATCGAAGTTGTTTGTTGCAATTTTGAGCTCGTCTTCGGAAAAAATCTTGGTCCTATCAGTATGTCCTTGTTGAAGATAAATTTGCTGCAGCATATAATTTCCTCCATTGTGCTCAAAATACATTCTTCTAAGTCGCTTTAGTGATCTTTGCTTGTGTCCCCAGCATAATGTGGAGACAAATGTGAAGACAAAAAGGAAGGCAACAGAAATGCCTGCAAACAAAGTTCAAAATATTAGCTGCACCCAGAGTACCAAGTAAACCATGGTTTTGTACACTAAAAGCTAATATATGCTTTGTTTACTGTTGCCATCATCCCCAGGTCCAACAGTCCTGATTCTCTCGTCGTGTGTAGAGAGATAAAGAAGCTGTGTATTGTAATGCTTTGAATAAAAATAAATAAACTTTTCTCTAAATATGGAAATGAGGCATGCAAATTAACCAGTGTGACAACTGAAATAAATTGTTTGCTTGCGATTGACAAAGCCTAAAAAGACAATTTGGCACGTCATTATAAAGCTGCCGATGTTTCTAAATCCAAATCAACCGCCGTCAATTTAAGATTGTTACCCACGCGCGCGCACATATAATTTCTTTGAAAATTAAGGATATCAATTATTTGTGTGATTGATTTGCTTGGATGATTCGAACGTTAAGGGTGAATTAATTAGTATTCTTACCCAATGAAATTTGCATGAGAGGGAATTTGCAGCCTGATCCGTCGATATAGCCGTCACCTCTATAACCCGGCGGACATGAACAAGTATAATTTCCTTCCACATTATGGCATCTCCAGCTGCAGCGATTCTTTACGTCACACTCATTAATATCTGCAAAATTAATCGTTAAGCTCATTATAGTTATATATATATCCCCTTGTTGGAATATTTTAAAAATGAAAATGATGTGTTTTTTCCGAAAAGTCACGTGCTTATAGGCTAAGGAATTTATATGAAGAGTTGTGTATGGGATGGGCAAACCACCAAGGTCATGTTTCTTCAGTTTTTACAGACAACTAATGGCAGGTCATAACTTCAAAAAAAAAAGTGATAAACCACCTGTTGGTGAAAAGTTGTATTGTTTTAGTTAAGAAAAACCTATATAGTACATGGATGTGACTCTTCACAAAAAAAGTTATTTTAAATAACTTTTGATTATTAAAAATATATTGCTTCATCAACCACATGATTATGACTTTAAATTAAAAAAGTATATTGTGGCATGAGACACTTCTTCAAGGTGTCACTTTATCGTTTATATATACTTCTCACTGTTATTCTATGTAAACAACGCATAAAAAATATAACATCAAACACATTGTCTTTGCCTTTGAATAAATACAGGAATAAAGTCAAATTATCATTTTATGAAGTTCATTATTGCCCCAACTTAAGTTTTGGTTGTGCAAATCATACTCAAAGGTTTTTATTACATCTTAAAGAAAATTTGTGTTGAAAGAAAATTTACCGATCAACTCAAATATTGTTTCCTAAGATTGAAATAGACAGAGATGAATTAAGCCTAAAGAAAGAGTTACACGTCTTGAAGATTACATGCACAATTTTCTTTTATATCTTTTCTCCTTCTACTCTTCAAATAACCATTGCCAGTATACCTCTAAGCATAGCTATATAAAAATCAGACTTGCACTAGATCTCATATCTCAAACAAAGAAAGTCATTTCTTAGGTAATTAAAAGCAAACGAGTGAGAACCAGCAGCGAAAGAGGCAAAGCTGAATGCACAAGCGTATAATCTAATTAAAACATATAGACAAAAAAAACGTGGTTGAAAGTTGAAAATGGAGTAGCTTTGTGGCATACCTTTGCAGCCAAGATCGGGAGAAGAGAGGTAGGGGTTGCCTCTGAAACCTTCTTTACAAACGCAGTAGTACCCCATACCACTTTCTGAGCCTTTGCATATGCTGTTTTGCTTGCAGGCATAGCTGCTTGGATCTTTCTGGGCTTCACGGCATGTCTGATTGGCAACAGCCCAATCCACAACGACGGGAAATTGTGTTCTGTTGCTGAGATCAAGCAGGTCTCGATATGAGAAGTTGAAGGATCCTTCCTTGGCAACAAAGGCGTAGCCGCAAGGGTTGAAGTCCCGCACGGCCTTGTACTTGCCAATGCTACTCGTCAAGGTAATATTGTAGTTCATGATGGCTTGGGGGAAATTGGTCTGGCAGCATCCCACACCGGAGCATGCCCCCTCCTCGAACCTCGTCCTGCTCCTGCAACTCAACATGCAGCCTGTTATAAAGCTGCTGTTCAGGTCCTTGAAGTAAGCGTAGGTGTCACAGCCCACCACCGTGAAGCTGTTCTTCGTGTTTGATATTGAAAAGTTCCTGAACTTAATTACGTGCCACCGAAACCCAAACTTTGAATTATAGCAGTGCTTGGAAACATTATCCGAGACGGTCAATTCAGGAGGATCAATGGAGATGTCCAGAACTGGAATGTTAGTACCGTAAATCAAACTTGTTGTGGCTTGTCCAGATGATGTCGTGGTGGTTGTGCAGTTCACAAAAAACTTTTCATTCATGCAGCAGTTCTTGCTGGTGCCAAAGGGATAGGGGATGCTCACGTTCCCACACTTGTTGTCGCAACCAGGTTTCGTTTGGGCCTCCGCCGCCGCCGCCGCCGCCGCCGTGGTGCAGACCAGCAATGCCAGTTTCAAATGCAAGGCATTCATCAAAACCATATCTCTCGGATCGATATATCCAGGATTTCTGGTGTGGCTATACAGGAAATAATAAGAGCTAGATATATGGCCAGGTGTATATTATATGCAGGACACTTTCAAATCCTGATCATTCGAGTACGCGAAGCTTCGTCTGTAATGACGCACAAGGATGAAGGAAGGAGCTTGCATTGTAGATGGACGACCTGATGATCTTAAGTTCTGTTTTTCCACAGCACGTCCAAATCATTAACGCAGGACGATATTGAGAGGTGGAGGACCGAGGCAAAAGCCAAAGGATCTACACACACATGGTCATGGCTGAATATTGGTCGTCGATCTATAATGTGATAAGACCTGGGAAAACAAATTTTAAGATGCCTATAACTATCACAGAATAGTATAGTTTACGAGTAATTTTGTCCAAAAACTCTAAACTTTGTATTAAATATGTTATAAATGATATAAGACTTTGGATTGCTGATGTCAACATGTTTTCATTTTCAATTCGACTGGAAACATATTAACATCAAATGTTCTCTCTCTCTCTATCTCTCTCTCTACATGTGCAGGGTCCCCATTGTGTTTAATAATCTGAGCATTTTAGGCTCTTGCAACAATGATAAGATTATACTCGTAAAAATTTTCTTATCATTTCCATCGTGATAGGTGTTAGAATTGAATTTTTTTAAAATGAGTTATAGCGATTTTATTTAACACTAAGTCAAAATAATATTCTAGTCAACTCAAGTTTGCTTAAAAAAAATTATCCCAAGATTTATCCTTAATAACCAAAGACTCTTTAATAAAAGATGACTGACTATCAAATATATAATTATATATATGAAATATTAGAGTACATGTAATGCCATGAAAGCAACCTCAAGCCCACGACTAAATCTTAGTATCACTTCTGTCATGTATGAGTCCTTAGATGTGATTTTTCCTTTTATTTTGTTTATCAACAACCATCTATATTTAACTTTTTAATCTCTACTTTTTTTTTTTTATAATGTTTGTTAAGCTCGAAAATAATAATTATTCAGTAACTTATATTTTTTAAAAGCAAAAGTATCAGTCATTCTTTTTTTCTTTTTTTCGGTAAGTTAGAGTACTCTCAAGTCACTTTGGATTCAAGATTAATCTCTGTCGAGTCGGAAGCGTTAAGATTAAAGTTCTTTCAACAAATGCGTTTCCCAGGATTTGAACTTGTGTTCCCCTTCATATGGAAATAAGACCACTTACCATTTCAATCAACAGCTTGTTGGTAGTACTGGTCATTCTTTATTAATTGTGCTTTTGGTATATGTCCTACAACTTTGAATCATGAGTGTTTAAGTATGTTGTTATTCGGTCGCATTAGATTATTTAACTTTGGATGTCTTTTGGGATATTTTAACTGTGATTAGAAATTTGTATTCTGGTTGCCTATCAGGGCATCAAGAGAATGAAATAATTTCTTTCTGCTATTTTTTTTTTTTAAAAAAGCAGAGAGAGAATGGAATTATTATCAACTAGTAAAAATTCAGGATTTGATAACGTTAACTTACTTCTATCCTTAACAACCAAAGACTTTTAAGGTATTAAATAAATTTTGACATTTTTAAAACCCTTACAAGTCTTTCAAAACAGTGTAACCTGAAACTCCCACACTTGCAAACAGCAGCAAGAGTAGTAGTAGCAGCTCAAATACATACATGAGAAATATCAACATTAAATTATTATTATCATCGCCCATCTGCAATCTCAAAAGCTATTTGTTTCTGTATGCTATCATATCCAGCTAAAGTGTTGGCAATAGCATTTCCATATCCACCGTCAAAGCCAGCTGAAGTGCTAGCACTAGCATTCCTATATCCAGCAGCTACATGAACAAGCAAGTATTCACATTCTTCAGACATCATATCCTCTCCCTTTACCCATGGATGCTTTTTCATAGCAATTAGACCTTCTAATTCCATCACTACTTCTTTCATAGTTGGTCTTTCCTCTCCATTAACTCTAATGCACCTCCTTGTCAAGAAAGCAACTTCCTTTAGTTGCTCTGCGTTTCTCACATCCAACACTCGCTTGTCAAGAATCTTCCGCAAGTTGTCTTCTTTCATCAAAGATGCAAAGTGCATAGCTAAATTTCTCTCTTCTGGCCTATTGAATCCAACTGCTTTATTTCCAGTGATCAGCTCCACAAGCACAACTCCAAAGCTATAGACATCACTTTTTTCGTTCAACTGACCAGTGAGGAGGTACTCTGAATCCAAATATCCTAATGTCCATTGAACCACTGCAGTAATCTGAGTTTCATCTAGAGGAACAAGTCTTGAAGCTCCTAAGTCAGAAACTTTTGCTCTATAATTGTGATCCAATAGTACATTAGTAGATTTAATATCGCGATGAATAATCAGGATAGAAGCAGTAGAGTGTAAATATAAATGGCCCCGGCTGTTTCTGCAGCTATCCTTAATCAGGTCTCCCATGAAAGAGAGTACTCATTCTTTATTGGGTCTATATGGTCAAGGAGGGTGCCATTGTCCACAAACTCGTAAACTAACAAAGGAACTTCAGTTTCAAGACAACACCCCAGAAGTTTAACCACATTTCTATGGTTGATTTGGGAAAGTACAGCCACTTCATTGATAAAATCCTTAATTTGTCTGGGATCCCCGCCTATTCTGGACCTTTTTATGGCAACATGTGTATTATCCGGTAATATACCCTTGTAAACCGTGCCTTGTCCCCCAAGACCAAGAATTCTACTTTCATCAAAGTTATTTGTGGCAATTTTAAGCTCATCTTCCGTAAAAATCTTGGTTCTATCAGCGTATTCTTGCTGTTGATGAAGTTGCTGCAGCATATTTCCTCCATTTTGGTCAAAATACTTTCTTCTAAGTCGTTTTAATGCTCTTTGCTTGTGCCCCCAGCATAATGTGGAGATCAATGTGAAGACAACAAGAAAGGCTACAGAAACGCCTGCAAAAAACGTCGTTCAAGATATTATCCAGTGTAGCTACTAAGTAGTGGAGTGTTTGTCGATAAACCATGGTTTTGAACCCTAAATGTTACTGCTTTGTTATTTCCCATCACCCCCCGGTTCAGTAGCCTTGATTTTCTATCTTGTTGTACGTTTGGGTTTAGATTGGGTTTAGATTAGGTATAACTCAACAATCAGTTTTTATATATAAATATATATATAATTTATTTAAAAATTAAAGATATTAAATTATTTTTTATGCACTCTCTAGTACATTTATTTTATTACTGATTGATGCTCTGCTTGTATGACCGCTTCATCTCAGACTATGCTTAACAAATTAAAACTTATAGCTATTCAATACACTTTGATGTGATTACGATTTGTAAATGAAAATTAAAAACTATGTTAAAAACTTCTAGGAACGATTTGCTGAGATTAAGATTAATGTTGCGTTTGGATGAAGCGAAAAATTTTGAAAAAATAAAATAAAAGGAATAAAAATAAAGAAAACAATAAAAAATATTATTACATATCTTATTTGGATGGATGAGAGAAAATATATAGGAAAAAAATGTCACAATGAAGATACTTATTATATTTATAATAAAATTGTATCAAAATAAATATTATTCAAATATTTTCATGCAAGAATATCTGAAATATATATTTTCATTCGGGCAAAAAAATATCTTCATTTTGTATAAAAAAAAAAATCTTCATACCTCCATCTTAAAATCAAATAATTTTAAAATAAAAAAATAATTTTTTATTTAAAAAATCAAATAATTTTTTGTATTTAAAAATATGTTTTAAAAATCAAATAATAAATTGAAAGACAAAAATCAAATGATATATGTTTAAAAAAATATTTTTTGATATTTCTTTCCTCTTTTTTTTTCTGGGAAAATTAGGGAGAGGGACCTAGTGGCGACAATAATTATGGGGGAAGATCTTAAAAGCTGTATTTATTTGGGAGGACCAAATACTAGAATATAAATTTAAAATTACCAATTTGCCCTTAACAAAATCCCATATATTATCTATAACCATATCCTATAATTTTTTTAACAAAATAATTAAATTTTATTCAAATTAAATTTTATTAACAAAATAATTAAATTTTATTCAAATTAATTCAAACTAATTGGAATTACGAAGTTACAAAACAATTATAAATAATTAAATTCAATTCAATTAGTAAGTAATACTAATTAATTTATTCTTCCATTAGTTTTTTTCAAAAATGAAACTCCTATTTTAAGCTTCCTAAATAATGAGCTTATCAAAATTGTATAGCTGAATTAAAAATTAAAAATATATATAACTTATCCATAATTAATAAGAACAAAAAATATCATGTAGGTTTAAACTTGAATTTTCTTACTCAAACTATTATATTTATAACTACTTTTATTATGACAAATATTTATTAATATAATGAATTTCTTATGTCATTTTTTATTTTAAATTTTAAATTTTATTAAATAAGAGGATTCAACTTATTCAAATAAAATAATAGTACAAAATTGACAAGCAAATATGTGGAACAACTTTTTTTTTGTGAATGGAGAACTTTACTGCCCTGCTTATTTTTCAGAAAGCCCACAAAAAATTATTAATTAAAAATAATGGAAAAATAAATTAGTTAATGTTGGCTATTAATTTAATTAATTTGAATCAGTGTCTGACTTTAAAATTTAAATTAGTTTGAATTAATTCAAATAAATTGTAATTATTCTACTAAATGGTATGAAAATTATAGGAAGTGGTGAGAGAATATAGGGGTTGTGGTGTGAATAGGGGTGAGTTTAATCTTTTTAAGTTTATATTTTAATATTTGGTCTTTTTAAATAATTAAAGTTTTTAAGATCCTTTCTAATAAATATCTTTTTCTCCTGGTCCTTCTCTCTAATTTTTCCTTCTTCTTTTTTCTCTCGCGCCCAAACAAGAAAAAAAACTCCCATCCTCCGGGATTTCTTTCCTCACGTTTTTTTTCCCATCCAAACATGGGGTGAGGGTTAGTTAGTATTCTTACCCAATGAAATTTCCGTGATCCATCCATATAGCCGTCACCTCAATAACCCGGCGGACAAGAGCACGTATAATTTCCCTCCACATTGTGGCATCTCCTACTGCAGCGATGCTTCCCGTCGCACTCATTAATATCTGCAAATTCAATCCTCAAGCTCATTATTATACATATCTCATATATTTTATATATATATATTTATATATCTAAGCACAGCTTTATGTATATAAAGATAAATCTAAATATTATTATACACGTCTTTGGCAATAAAAAGCAGACGAGTGAGAACCTTATCAAACACTTTGTTTTGGGGAATTACAGCAAAAGCTGATAGGCTTACCCTTGCAGGCTGTATCATGGTGGGAGAGGTAGGGGTTGCCTCTGAAACCTTCTTTACAAACGCAGTAATACCCAATACCGCTTTCTGAGTCTTTGCATCTACTGTTTTGCTTGCAGGCAAATCTGCTTTCATCTTTCTTGGCTTCATCACATGTCTGATTAGAAACAACCCAATCCACAACGACGGGAAACTCTGTTCTGTTGCTGAGATCAAGCAGGTCTCGATACGAGAAGTTGAAGGATCCTTCCTTGGCCATAAACGCATAGCCACAAGGGTTAAAATCAAGCACGTCCATGTAGTTCTCAGAACTGTATATACTGATATTATAGTTCCAGATGGCTTTGGGGAAACTGGTCTGGCAGCATCCCACACCAGAACATGCCCCGTCTTGAAAACTCGTCTTGTTACTGCAACTCAACGCGCAGCCAGTTATGAACCTGCTTCTCAGGTCCCTGATGAAAGCGTAAGTGTCACAGCCCACCACAGTGAACCTGTTCTTGGTGTTTGACATAGAAAACTTGTCATTGAACCACATTGAGTTCCAGTAAAAGGGGAAGTTTGAATCATAACAATGTTTGGAAACGTTTGCTGAGACGGTTAATTCAGGAGGATCAATGGAGATGTTGAGAACTGGTATATTACTGCCGTAAACCAAACTTTTGGGTTTTCCAGATGATGGGGACGTGGTGGTTGTGCAGTTGAGGAAGAACATTTCGTCTCTGTAACAGTTCTCGCTAGTGCCCAAGGGATAGGGGATGCTCACGTTCCCACACGTGGTGTTGCAACCCGGTTTTGCTTGGGCCGCCGCCGTGACCGCCGCCGTGCAGACCAGTAATGCCAGTTTCAAATGCATTATTGCGGGCAAGCCCATCTTTAATTTCTAATCGGTATATTCAGGAATGAGTTAAAGCTAGGTAGCAAGGTGTTATATATAGATCACTTAGAATCCTGACTATTTATCGAGTGCACCAAGTTCATTTCATGGGTATAATGACATACAAGGATCGACGAAGGAAGGGGCTTGTAGATCGACGACCTGGTCGTAATCTCTGTTCTTCCACGCGAAATGTTACAGTAACTTTGATGGTAACATTTCTAACTTTGGTACACATGAAGGGAAGTTCCTGAAAGGTAAAATGAGTGAGAAAATCTTTCCCGAAGTTCCTGAAAGGTAAAATGAGTGAGAAAATCTTTCCCTAACATGTTTGGTTCAACAGATCTTGTCTTCTTAGAGAACCATGCTTCCCCCAAGGAAGTAGGTCTTCTCCCTTTAGGTTACGGAACTGGGTTTCCTTCACCGGATTCAAAGTTTGTCCCCATTTCGCCCCGAGTTGTCAAATATTCTGTTCATCGGTACGGTTTGTTGCTAAAGCAGTGAAGCCGTTGGGGATTGTGTTCAACACCACCGAATTCAGACCAAGCCCTTGCATAAATTGACGCTGCTGTCTGCATGTTTTTCAACTCATCTGGGTGTTGTACCTGAAGTTTGAAGCCATGAAGCTTGTGGCCTTGACGCCTTTATCCCTCTCCAGATCCATCCGACGATTTTATTTCAATCATATATTTTTTTATGTGTAATTTTGACGGATAAACATGTAATTCTTTTACTTTATTTTTTCCTTTCCAATTTTTTCATGCCTTCATAGTGAACAGTGCATCTCTCTTCCCTTCTCATTCGTAAATATGATGCATTTTGATACGTAAGGAAGGGTTTCATGCCAGTTATTTCTCCTTCTGCTTCCTCCTTCTCCTCTTTCGTTCTTAAATACTATCTCCGGTTTTTAATATAAAATTTTTTTAAAATTTTATTTATCCTATTTACTTATTTATTTTTTAAGATAGTTTTTCTAATAATAATGGTTCTAGTAAATAAGCTTGATTAGCAAGAATATTTTAAAAAAATATTTATTATAAATAAATAATTTAATTTATTTTTTTAATTTACTTAAATTAGTTAGTTAGCTTCTATATTTAGGACCGGAAGTAGTATAAATCCTTCTAACCAAATATGATCTTAATATAACCTTTGTCATGCATGAGTCCTTGGTTGTAACTTCCCCTATTTTGTCGTAAAAAAAACCCTCTATGCCTTAGTTACTCATATTTATTGAACGCGTCAAAAGTTTGTAGCATTCAGAGAGCTTACACAGAGTAACTATGCAAAGTTGTGAACATACAGACTGATGTCTACGACAGAGGACACCATCAGTCGTATGTGCAAGAATGTTGAACTTCAGAGAATTGTTATCACGGCTTGCTTTTAATTTCAATCTCTCTCTCTCTCTCTCTCTCTCTATAATACTTGTTATGCTCGAAAAATAATAATTATTCAGTAATTTTTATTTTTAAAAATAAAAGTAGGGAGGACTGGAAGGAAAATAATTATTAAAAAGTTTTATAACAACTAAATAGTTGATAAGTTTTAGTGAAAGAAATGGCAATATTTTATTAAGACTTTTTGGTAATTATTATTTTTTTTCAGACCTCATAATTTTTCCATGGAAGTATTAGTCATTTTTTTATGCTCTAAATATCATGTTAATTTTGTTTTCATTGTCCTTTAGTGTATGTCCGACGATGTTGAATGACGAGTGTTTGGATTATGTCGCCGTTATCTGTTTGCCTTATATTATTATGGGAGAATTACAATGAGGTCCCACGTAATTAAAAAACAAGTCCCAGAGGTTGTCATTTTCACTGTAGGACTTGTTATTACAGGCTGCTCAGGTTGTTACTTGGGACTTTGTAGTGATTATTTCTCTTATGTGGGACTTGAATGTAATTCTCCCTATTATTATAGTTCGTATATTTTTTTGAAGGATTAAATTTTTTTAAAAAGATAAAATGAATTGGAGTTTTATATTTAGAATTAAATAAAAAGTCAAACTGATTCTTTTGAATATACTTTAATTGATTAGAATTTAATTTGCATTCCAGTTCTCTATCACGAACATAGAATGGAATCATTTCTTTATGCTGTTATTAAAGAAAATACATACAGAGAGAGAGTGTGTGGAAACATGATCAACTGGTAAACATTCAACATTTGATAGTTTTAATTTACTTCTATAATCTATTCTTAATAACCAAAGGTTTTAAAATATCAAATAAATTTGAACATTTTTAAAATGCTTACAAGTATTTCAAGACGGCATCACCTAAAACTCCTACCATTTCGAAGAGTTGAAAGAATTAGCTCACACACATACGAAATACTAATATTGAATCATGATCATCGCCCATCTTCAATCTCAAATGCTATTTCTCTCTGTATGCTATCATAGACAGTTGAAGTGCTAGCACTAGCATTTCCGTACCCATCAGTTACATGACCAAACAAGTATTCACATTCCTCAGACATCATATCCTCTCGCTTTCCCCAAGGATGTTTTTTCATAGAAATTAGACCCTCTAGTTCCATTGCTACTTCTTTCATAGTCGGCCTTTCCTCTCCATTAACCCTGATGCATTTCCTTGCCAAGAAAGCAACTTCTTTTAGCTGCTCTTCATTCTTCTGATCTAACACTCGCTTGTCAAGAATCTCCCACAAGTTGTCTTCTTTCAGTGAAGATGCAAAGTGCATAGCCAAATTTCTTTGTTCTGGCTTGTTGAAGTCAACTGCTTTATTTCCGGTGACTAGCTCCACAAGTACAACCCCAAAGCTATAAACATCACTTTTCTCATTCAATTGACCCGTAAGGAGGTATTCTGGATCCAAATATCCTAATGTTCCTTGGACGACGGTAGTAACTTGAGTTTCATCAAGAGGAATAAGTCTTGAGGCTCCAAAGTCAGAAACTTTTGCCCTATGATTGTGATCTAATAGTATGTTGGCAGATTTAATATCGCGATGAATAATTGGAATAGAAGCAGCAGAGTGTAAATATGAGATGGCTTCGGCCGTTTCTACAGCAATCCTTAATCTAGTCTCCCATGAAAGAGGATGCTCATTCTTTAGTGGGTCTATATGTTCAAGAAGTGTGCCATTGTCCACATACTCATAAACTAATAAAGGAACTTCCGTTTCAAGACAACACCCAAAAAGTTTGACCACACTCCTATGGTTAATTTGGGAAAGTACAGCCACTTCATTGATAAAATCCTTAATCTGTCTAGGATCCCCACCTATTCTGGACTTTTTGATGGCAACAAGCGTGTTATCTGGTAATATACCCTCATAAACTGTGCCTTGTCCTCCACGGCCAAGAATTCTACTTTCATCAAAGTTGTTTGTAGCAGTTTTAAGCTCATCTTCAGAAAAAATCTTGGCTCTATCAGTATGTCCTTGTTGTTGATAAATTTGCTGCAGCAGATAATTTCCTCCATTTTGCTCAAAATACTTCCTTCTAAGTTGTTTTAGTGATCTTTGCTTGTGTCCCCAGCATAATGTGGAGACAAATGTGAAGACAAAAAGGAAGGCAACAGAAATGCCTGCAAACAAAGTTCAAAATATTATCTAGATGTAAACTATGGTTTTGGACACTAAATAATGCTAGTATGCTTTGTTTACTTCCCATGATCCCCCGGTCCAATATATTGTCTTGATTCTCTCTTGTGGGTAGAGAGATAAAGAAGCTGTGCGTGGCAATGCTTTGAATAAAAATAAACTATTCTTTAAAAATGGAAATGAGGCGTGCAAATTAACCAATGTGACATGACTGAAGTAATTTGTTTGTTTGCGATTGACACATCTTAAAAAAGATAATGACATGTCATTATAAAGCTGCTGATGTCACTGACTTTTGCGACGTTATACTGCAGCTGCGAGGTCTGTTGGCTTTTATTTTTTTATTCAAGGAATGGGATGACAAAGTATTTCTAAATCCAAATCAAATCGCCATCATTTTAACACAGTTAGCTAAATATATATATAATTAATTACTTAGCATTCTCACCCAATGAGATTTCCATGAAAGGGAATTTGCAGCCTGATCCGTCGATATAGCCGTCGCCTCTGTAACCCGGCGGACAAGAACACGTATAATTTCCTTCCACATTGTGGCATCTCCTGCTGCAGCGATGCTTGCCGTCATCGCACTCGTTAATATCTGCAAGATTAATGTAATGTTTAAGCTCATTATACAAATCTGATATCTCTAAGCACAGGAGCTATATCCCAAACAAACATAGCGGAAGAGCTTGCTTATTATATCTCTTTGGCATTTAAAAGCAAATAGGAGTGAGAAGAGCCAACAAAGCTGAATGTAGCGCACGCATATAGACAAATAAACATGGTTTGAAAGTTAAAAACAGAAGCTTTGTTCGGAAAGCTGAGGCGTATATACCTTTGCAGCCAAAAAGGTAGGGGTTGCCTGTGAAACCTTCTTTGCAAACGCAGTGGTACCCTATACCACTTTCTGAGCCATTGCATATACTGTTTTGCTTGCAGGCATAGCTGCTCGGATCTTTCTGGGCTTCATGGCATGTCTGATTGGCAACAGCCCAATCCACAACAACGGGAAACTGTGTTCTGTTGCCGAGATCTCGCAGGTCTCGATGTGAGAAGTTGAAGGATCCTTCCTTGGCAACAAAGGCATAGCCGCAAGGGTTGAAGTTACGCACGTCCGTGTAGTTGTCAAAACTCTTCAAGGTGATCTTATAGTTCATGATGGCTTCGGGGAAATTGGTCTGGCAGCATCCCACACCAGAGCATGCCCCCTCCTCGAACCTCGTCCAGCTCGTGCAACTCAACGAGCAGCCTGTCATAAAGCTGCTGTTCAGGTCCCGGAAGTGAGCGTAGGTGTCACAGCCCACCACCGTGAATCTGTTCTTCGTGTTTGATATTGCAAAGTTCCTGAACCAAATTGAGTGCCACGGAAACCCATGCTTTGAATTATAGCAGTGCTTGGAAACATTATCCGAGAAGGTCAATTCAGGAGGATCAATGGAGATGTCCAGAACTGGTAAGTTAGTACCGTAAATCAAACTTGTTGTGGCTTGTCCAGATGATGTCGTGGTGGTTGTGCAGTTCACGAAAAACCTTTCATTCATGTAGCAGTTCTTGCTGGTGCCAAAGGGATAGGGGATGCTCACGTTCCCACAAGTGTCTTCGCAACCACGTTTCGTTTGGGCCGCCGCCGCCGCCGCCGTGCAGACCAGCAAAACCAGTTTAAAGTGCAGGGCACTCAAACTCATCTCGGAGATTTGTGGTGTGGATCTATATGCAGGAATAATTAAGAGCTAGGTAGGATGGTATTACATATAGAACACGAAGCTTCGTTTGTAATGACGCACAAGGACGAAGGAAGGAGCTCGTAGATCGACGACTTGACCTGGTTTTCCACGGTGCATATCCAAATCATTGTCACAAAAGGTCTTGGTCTTCTGTCTTTGGTTGTGTTTGGCACGAGGGATTTGAAGAGAAAAAAAAGAGGAAGAGGGATTTTACTCATCTTCGCTTGTTTGGTAACACCCAAAATTCGTAGGAGGGAAGGAAAAATTTTCCCTTATAACTCTCCTCTCCCCTTATAACTCTCCCCTCCAAAATTTGGGGGGATTTGAAGGGAAAATATATACTTCTATTTTGTTTTGACTAAATTGTCCATGGCTTTTTAAAATATTCTTATCCTATTTTTTTTGCCTTTCTTCCTTGTCCCATCTCACCTAATATTAAGTAAAAATTAACTAATAGTGCCATAAAAACTTATTCTTTCAATGAGTTGTGTGCGTGTGTGTATATGTAATATATATATATATATATATATTAAGTTTAGTTATTATTACATATATATTATAATTATAATATTTATAATTATTATGCCATGTATACTGGAAGCATGGTTATAACTTATAAACGATACTTTTACATAATAAATGCAACTTATTATTATATTTTATTAAACATTATGAAAGGAGGAATACAAAAACAACTAAAATTGAATAAAGATAAAATTGTCTATATAAAAATATTTTTCCTCCTTTCCCCTCCTAAACTAAATAAGATAATAACATTACAATCTATCTCTTTCTTCTTCTTCTTCTTTTTCCGGATCAATACAGGTGACTCAATATTAAAATCTTTTTCATTCCCTCACTTTCCATTCTATCGATTAAAATCCCTCCTCTTCCCTTCTTTCCATTAAGCCAAAGAGACCCTTATAGCTTACTTATGAAACTCCGGTCAAAATTAACGTACGCTTCGTCGCTTCCTTTGCCTGGCTTTTCTTTTGTCAAGTTTTTCCACAAAGACTTTGTATACCTAGCCCCGTTCGCGTGTGGAATGGTTCCACTCTCCACTTTGCTTCCCGTTAATTTCCCTTCACTTGCGCAAAACGGCACCTTTTTGCATTTCCCTCGTGGAAGACCCTTGATGCAGAGATTTACTGGTTTTTCATCCTTCATTTGGTGATCCGTCTCGAAGGTACCTTTTTTTTATATAATAAAATTTAGATGAGTTGGGTTGCTGATCGGCTCATCAGAGTTAATATATGCCTTCAAATTTAAAGAGCGCTTATAGAAATATTTAAAGATCACCTATCAATAAGGTCCTCTTATTGGCAGTCGGATTTGAATTCATGGCTCACGATATTATGGTTTATAAGTAAATTTCTTATCAACTGAATCAATTATTGTTGGCAATTTTTATTTTTTTTATTTTCTCCGCCAAGTATCATCTCCTTGTATTTGAATTTAAAAAAGTTGGGACTTCATATAATATAATGTAGCTAAAAAATGTTCGTATCATTCTTCTAAGTTATGAAATTATGTATCGAAGTTTCGTAGTTACATGCATAATCTATTTTATGAACGCATAATATCGTATTTGGTTTAAGCAAACATTTTAAGCAACAACGTGTAGCTAGGAGTCTCTCAAACATGGGCTATAGATATTCAGGACTCAGGAGCCTAAGCTAAGCTAGAGAGTTAATTACAATATAAGATCACTAGAAGGCCACCTCTATGTCGCCACGTTTAAGTGAAAGCCTGATCATTCAAGTACGCATGTAATGATGCACAAGGGTGTTTGGAAATCTCCTTGAAAACCATTTTTACGATTAATATATGATCAAATTTTTATTACATATTTGTTTAATGCAGCATAAAAAATTACTTAAAATAGACTAGTCTAAAACCGTAAAACACGTGTCCAAATCATTTTCGCAGCATGATATCGAGCCATGAACGCCATACGCATATATATATATATATATATATATATATATATATAGGGCCCTTCTCTCCTTCCAAAATTACGTGTTTACTTTGTTTCTCTCTCTCTCTCTCTCTCTCTCTATAAATATATATTATTTTTAATCCTTAATATAAGAGCTAGTTGACTAATTTGAGTAGATTAAAAAAAATTTATTAAGTTAGTTATTTGTAATAAATGAGTATTTTCTTCCCTAAAATACTCTTGCAAATTAAGTGTATTAGGTTTAACATTTGATAAAACTTTTAATATATATAACTACTACAAGGACTACTTTAGAAAAAAAAAATAAATAAATATGAGAGACAAAGTGGATTGGGATATTATATTTAGAAACAAATTGAAAGTCAAACCAGCCTTTGTATTACGGATTCAAGGTAGTATACATATATATATATATACATACTCCTCCGGTCCTAATTATAAGACCCAATTGACTTATTTGAGGAGATTAAGGAAGTAAGTTAAGTTGGTTATTTATAATAATAAGTGTTGTTATTCCTAAAATATCCTTGCTAATTAAGTATATTGGCTAAAACTATCATTATTAGAAGGATTATCTTGGAAAAAAATGTATAAATATAAGAGAGAAAATGGATTGGGTCTTATAATTAGGACCAAATAAAAAGTCAAATTGGGTCTTATAATAAGGACTGGAGGAGTATCTTTTATTATAAGCATCTAGTTCTTCCTCTTACTTTATGTAATTTCAACTGGTTGCAGCTATTTTTAATCAAATAAGTATATGTACATGTACGTATACGTGTACATACAGTATTGATTCTATTTATAGGGATTAAGACCTATTAATATTTGACACCTATCAAAGCAGGGAAGCAGCTAGGGGTTGTGTTCAACACCACCAAATTCAGACGAAGTCCGGCCCCTGCATAAATTGACGCTGTTGTCTGCCTGTCCTATACGCCTATAGCTGTTTTTTTCCCTCCTCTATATATACAATTTAAATAATACATGCGCGGGCACAAACATGTTAAAATTATGTTCAAGGCTTTATCCAAACATGATGTGTGGCGCCGCTACTAATTAAAACAACTTCTTGTCGACCGAACTCATCGATCTGTGTGTTATGTACTTGAGGTTTGAATGCATGGTGCACGTGGCACCTTAATGCTTTTGTCCCTCTCCAGATCCATCCTATGATTTTATTTTTGGAATCATACTGATGATCAGTCCATCTCTCTTTCCATCTCATTCCTTTGTATGGAGCATTTTGGACATGTAAGGTACTGCTATTTTTTTTTCCCCAATCTGCTTCTCCTCCTCTTTTCCTCTTCTAAAAATAAATTCCTTCCAACCGAATATGATCTTAATATAACTTTTGTCATGTACGAGTCCTTAGATGTAACTTTTCCGTTTATTTTGTTGTAAACAACTCTATATATGCCTTAATTATTCGTATGCATTATTGCGCACACATCAAGTTTGTAGCATGGCGCTTACGTGGAGTAACTATTTAAACAAGCAGATAAGACAGAACACATCGATCAATTGTATATATGTCCAAAAATCTTGAATGAACTTCAGAGAATTATTATCAGGGCTTGCTTTTATATACATATATATGATGGTTGTAATACTCAAAAAAGTAATTATTATTCAGTAATTAATATTTTTTAAAGTAAAAGTATTAGTCATTATTTTAACATGTAAACATTATGTTCTCTCTGTATAAAATAACCGGGACCTGGGGGGTGAGGAGAGAGACTCAAATCATTATCAACTCGTAGAACTTCGGGATTTGATAATGTTAACTTACTTTTATTCTTAATAACCGAACATTTTTAAAATCCCTACAAGTCCTTTCAAAACAACGTAATTACCTGAAACTCCTACATTGGCACAGAGTAGAAAGAGTAGCAGCTAAAGCACATGACAAATACTAACATTAAATGATCATCGCCCATCTGCAATCTCAAATTCCATTTGTTTCTGTATGCTATCATAGCCAGCTAAAGTGTCGGCACTAGCATTCCCATAGCCACCATTATAGCCAGCTGAAGTGCCAGCAGGAGCATTCCCATATCTGCTAGCCACGTGACCAAGCAAATATTCACATACTTCAGACATCATATCCTCTCCCTTTACCCAAGGATGCTTTTTCACGGCAATTAGACCCTCTAATTCCATCGCTACTTCTTTCATAGTCGGTCTTTCCTCTCCATTAACTCTAATGCACCTCCTTGCCAAGAAAGCAACTTCCTTTAGTTGCTCTGCGTTCTTCACATCCAACACTCGCTTGTCAAGAATCTTCCGCAAGTTGTCTTCCTTCATCAAAGATGCAAAGTGCATAGCTAAATTTCTCTCTTCTGGCCTATTGAATTCAACTGCTTTATTTCCGGTGATTAGCTCCACAAGTACAACTCCAAAGCTATAGACATCACTTTTCTCATTCAGCTGACCTGTGAAGAGGTACTCCGGATCCAAATAACCTAATGTCCCTTGAACCACTGTAGTAATTTGAGTTTCATCTAGAGGAACAAGTTTTGAGGCTCCAAAGTCAGAAACTTTCGCTCTATGATTATGATCTAATAGTATGTTGGTAGATTTAATATCACGATGAATAATTGGAATAGAAGCAGCATAATGTAAATATGAGATGGCCCCGGCTGTTTCTGCAGCAATCCTTAATCGGGTCTCCCATGAAAGAGAGTTCTTGTTTTTTAGTGGGTCTATATGTTCAAGAAGGGTGCCATTGTCTACAAACTCATACACTAACAAAGGAACTTCAGTTTCAAGACAACATCCGAAAAGTTTAACCACATTCCTATGGTTGATTTGAGAAAGTACAGCCACTTCATTGATAAAATCCTTTATTTGCCTGTGATTTCCACTAATTCTGGACTTCTTTATGGCAACATGCCTGTTATCTGACAATATACCCTTGTAAACCGTACCTTGCCCTCCACGACCAAGGATTCTGCTTTCATCGAAGTTGTTTGTTGCAATTTTGAGCTCGTCTTCGGAA